GAGTGAGGAGGGTCCAGTGAACACGTCAAGATTTGCTAATTAAATATTACAAATATAGACTCCACTGGTCTCGCCACCTCATTTGCCACATGCCAAAATTTTTTGACAACATATATCTATATTTGTGTTAAATTGAAGAAGGAATGTTACTGGTTGGTGCTAGGATACTATTAATTTTAACTTGAAGCTTCATTTGGATCCAATGTAAAATATTATCAGTGTAAAAGTATGCTGATGACATTTTACATTGAACCTTATAATAGGTGACTGTTATATTTTGAAAACCGTGATAAAAAAGTGTAAAGTTTTATATCGATAAAATCAATGTAGTATTTATATCGATAATTGATGTAAAACTTTATGCTTGATGAGGTTTTACATCGATCCATGATATAAAACTCTACCTAAACGTTAATAAATTTAAATCGGAGTAGAGTTTTACATCAATCTTCATTTATACTCCTTTCAAACGTCAAAAAAATTGAATCAATATAAACTTTTACATCGTTCTTGATTTATACCGATTCCAAACACAACTTTTAAGTACTAGATGCAGAATATTTGATTTATGACTTTATTGCATTAATTATATGTTTGTCTTTTCAGAGTTTTATTTTATGGGTACCCATTGTTTGCCTCTTGAAATAGACTTCATCTCTATGGGTTGTAGATTGCCAAAAGCCAAAGAAGATGAGAAATTATTAGAATGATGGCAACGAAGAATCTGTAACAGTATTGGTATTGATGATGAGGTGGTGGTGGAATCGTCCAAGACCTTTGTATGGGAGAGAGAGAGGGCGTCCCAACCTTCACACTTCTGAATTGGGAAAACAAAATGAATAGGGGAGTGGTGGAGTTTGTACTAATGACAAGTAGAAAATGCCCTTTATCCCCTTTTTTATACCTTTTTAATGAGAAGAAATCAAAGTGTTTAGTAGAGAAGAAGTAGCTCCTCACGAGAGAGAGAGAGATTTGTGTAGTCCATTATCTTGCATGAAAAGGGCATGACATTAAGAGGGGTTTCTAGTTTTTGCGTGCCATCATAGGAATGATTGTTTTACCAAAAGAAAGAGAGTTTTGGTCAACTATGGTGCTCATTGCCTCACCGTCGCTCCACCCCTCCTCCTCCTCCTCCTCCTCCTTTTCTCTTCTCTGCACCTTCATAAACTCTCTATTCAATGTTCCCACATACTCCACCTCTCACTCCACCAAAATCACTCTTTTTATCACCACATCATTTGCTTTAAAAGTATTTAAATTCATACTACTTAATGCTAGCTACCCCAACTTTATTAGCTGGCCCCCAAATGCTAAATATCTCTCTCCCAATTCCCACCAAGCCAGGAGCCTACCTCCTGGTAATTAATATGAACTAAGGCACTACTTCTACTTGATATATATTCGATCCAGGAGTTTGGGTATTTATTATATGTTATCTTGTTATTATCTACTTGATATTATATATGCCAACTGCTCCTCTCTCCAATTGAAAGGAGCAGCAAGTAATGGACCCAATCAATTTCTTGGCCCTGATGATATATATGTTTCTTTTTATTTTTTTTTGTGCAAGAATTTAAGGTATCAGCAACCTAGCATAAATATATAGGCCAATCATATCACGGACTCATGGTTTATCTTTTTAGTTCCCTACCCAAACCTAGAACCGTCCGGGTTCAATTGATCCGACCCGAACCCATAAATTAAAACCCACCAATCCAACAAAAAAAGAAAAAAAAAAAAACAAGAGAAGTGGGAAACTGGGAATTAGGAAGACAAAGCACATGAAAGCAAGGGAGCATAAATGGGTCAAACTCACTACAAGCTTCGAACTTAAAAGCTATACAGGAAAGTCTTATTTGGGGGGATTATATTAACTCTTTTACTGTAGATAGATGACTGATGAGGACTGTAGACCACTAAATGGATCTACTAAAAGTGGATAATAGATGACTAATCATTTAGTGGGAGAAAGTTGTGAAATATGAAATGAACCCAATGAAATAAAATAAAATAAAAAAAAGAAATACATTTTATTTGTGGAGACTGGAGAGGAACGTGAAAATGCATAACAATAACAATTGATCAATTGTCCATGAAAGCATGCACTCCAATGACCAAAAAAGCATTTACAACGCAGGCGCATAGCGCACGCTAGACCACCATGGGGCCCACGACACACAATAAGCTGCCCCATTCTTAGCCCGCAATCTAATCAACATGTCTTGATGTCTCATGTTTTACCTACATATTAGTGCTCCTTGGATAACTATTCCACTCTATTATTATTATTATTATTATTAACGAAATTTCTTTGAACCAATCAACCAAAGCTAATTTTCTAGCATGACAATACTTGTCGGCTTAGTGTTATTGTCTGGTTTTTTAAAATCTTGCTTAGAGGTTGAACCAGTATTTTTACTTCATTAGGTCAACCTGTAACGGTATTACTATAAAAAAAATAAAATTAAAATTATACAGAGAAATAGCTAACCCATTTGAACAGGCCAGATGGATCAATGGTTAAACCATTTGATCATTGACGAGTCAACAGTTTTTTTGTAATATAATGTGTTGAAGGATGACCTGAACCAGGACTATGACCATATCACCAGTCCTGCGTCAATGACGGATTGAAAATACAGCCATTATCAATTGCTCTCTGCATTGTTGTGCCTTTTTTTCTCAGTTTTGCACCTATGTACATAGGAGTTTGGATTTCCTGCCCACGATAAGTTTACCGACATAACATCGTAGCTACACATAAGGAACATCTTATCCTCTTACGAAGGTAGTATTTTATAGGTAGACATGGATAAAATTATTGTGGGCAGGAGATCCGGAGTATGCACATAGAAGTTGCAGCTTAATTAACGGCAAAAGGTGCTACTTAATATAGCATAGGATTTTATTTTTGGTGTATATAATATAATGCAATGACCTGCAGCAGCCGAATTTATTCCTTTTGTTCTGGACCAGTTTGTTTGAAGAAGAATCCAGATTGGCAATAGTGTAAGTTAGCTGGGGACTGGTCAGGGTTCTCTAATTAATCCTCACACTAGAAAATACATGAGTCATGATCATTTTGGTTGGACCACAGATGAGAGTAATTACTCTTGTCCAAGCAAGCTCATAAAAAGAATAGTTGGGGACATTTTGGCTGGACCAAAGAAATTTATGTTCTAAGTATTTACAGGATCTACACTCCCAAACTAGTTAAAAACTGTACCTCTACTGTACTACTGTAAAGAAAGTTAATATGGATGGTACACACCAGCATCTAACTGCACAAAGTTTTGATTGATTGATTAAAGATCTATCTTTCGGATTGGAAGTTGTTATGATAATTCTTGTATGGATGTTATTTGACTATAATTTGGAAAATGGATCAAATTACACAAAGCTTTATAGTCTCTCTCTCTCTCTCAATATGTACATCTAATAAAAGTTGATCAGTGAACACTTCTTGATGTATATGGAGGTTCACTTTATGATATAGATATTAGGTGTTTGTAGTATCAAATGCTAGCTAGGTCAAGTGTGACCCTGCAGCTGGAGGTTATCATAGAATCATGTGTTCCTATTTCAAAAAAGAAAAAACAAAAAGGAAATGTTGTGCCCTGATGAACTAACCAAGGATCCCTTCACTCCCCCCCTCATGTGGTTGCAACAACAACTATGAAATGGACCATGGTAGATAGCAAAAAAAAAAAAAAAGAAAAGCCAACGCTTCTTATTCTAACATATCATCTTGTGAAAAAATAGTGCAAGCTTTAATATTGTAATTATTATAATTGCCATTGTAATGATTCTTATCATTCCAACTCTTCAATATTTTGTATCACAATATACATTTTAAAATTTTAATTAAAATATAGTAATTAAATATGATAAAAATAATATTAAAGTATCTATAACCACTATAAATAAAGGTATGATGTAAGATGAGCCTTATAATGATGTCACTATTTGTTTAAAGAAACATGTATAAGAACAAAATTAGAAAAAAATAGCAAAAAATAGATAAAACTATACTAAATAACATAAACAAGAAGAGATATTACTAGTGCATTATAAATTGCAACCGAAATAGGATTACATAAGTTTAGAAGAGAACAATATATAATTAATTAGAGAGAACAGCATTCCTCTAGTACATTCTAAGTCATATTCTAATAAATGCATTGAATGAATAAACAAAGCTGATTAAGGCTCCATTTGATTCGTAGGAATAGGGGTCGGGAATTGGAATGAGATATTTCGATTCCAACCGTTTGATTGGGCGGAATCAGAATCCTATTCCCATTCCTGTTGAAATGATATTTTCTCATTTGAGGAAATGGCCATTTCCTGGAATAAAATCTCATTCTTACTGATTCTAATTCTCATTTTTATTCCCATCCGAACTAAACAAACTATAACAGTAGACTATTCCGATTCCGATTTTAAAGGATTCCAACTGCAAACCAAACAGACCCTAAGTGATTATATACATTATATGGGACCCATGCATGATTAGATAAAAGCAGCATAAATTAATACAGACATTATTTATTAATTGAACGATAATTAAAATTTAAAGTATAACCACTGAATTGGTCGTTAATGAGATAAGACAATGAACAATGCAGCTTTATGATGAGTATTTTTGTTGAATAAAGATTCAACAATAATTACTTTTATTAATACAACTTAATTCTGTATTACGACAAGTTTGGTAGCATAGTTGGCTTACCGTATAACCTTTCTATGGTACTCTTTTGCCAAAATTGTACTGCATACAGGATTTGTTTTACGCAGTACGCACATTGCCAAACGAGTCAATATTTGCTTGCTTGAGTCCGAGTCAGTGATATCTAAACAGTACAACCCGCTTTCAGTTATTTATTTTTTTTTCAACGTACATGGTGCAGTGTCTAGGACAAATAATTAATGAATCCCAGGTTGCTGAACGCGCTCAGTCCAAAATAAGCGTCGTACCAGCAAAAATCCTCTGATGACAATATATATCTAGGTATGGAGCTTTCCTCATTTCTTTTCCAAACTTCTAGTATTAAAAGATGGAGATGACATATTGCGGAGAGAGAGAGAGAGAGAGATTATTCTCTCTTTTTCTTCACACAACCATAACCATACATAGGGTTCATCATATTTTTACAAACTATAAGTTCCAAAGTTACACCAACTCAAAAAGTTGAAAAATAAGCAAGTGATAAGAACTCTCTCTCTCTCTCTCTCCTCATCCATTCATTTATCAAATATGCAAATACCAATGTCACAGTCCGAGCTCGAATTAAAGAACCCATTCATCAACTTGTTTCCTTCCTCCCTACTACTCTGTAATAAAAGCAAAGCCGTATCCGAACTAGGATGAGCTCCAAAGTTTGAGATCCCTTCACTATCATATCTATTTTCCTGACTCAATTGAGAAGCAACAAACTTGTCAAGGGCCCTCCAGTCGGTCACTTTCTCGGTGTAATTTTTACACCCTCTTATTGTCTCTTCCTCCTCATTATTCACTGATGGCACCATTGATGGTACGATCGGCCTCTTTATTAGTGGTAGTGATGGGCTCTCTAGCTGAGGAAGCTGTACAAAATGATCAGAGTGCAGGAAATTGAGATTCTCGGCTTCGATCTCCTGCTTACATACAAAATTCTGATTCTGCCTTGGGATATAATCGATTGGATCGATAATGGAGCTAACCCCACTTGGTTCATCATAGAAGTAACTCGAATCCCACCCTTCGTTGCTTCTAGTTTGACAGCTCGTTCGTTTCTTGAATGCTCGACAGACGACCCATCCCTCTTCCTGCAAAAGAAACGAACAATTCTTTCTCTGTTATTTTTAGTTCTTCTTTCTGTAGTAGAAAGATGCTTGAGAAGCACATAAAAGTTTCCAAGGAAAGGCTGAAAAGGATTTCCTAAACTTTCCCCTTTGAAAATTTTCTGTTTGATAAAGAGAAGTAGTAGAAGAAGCAAAAGTTTACTTTTGACAAACTGAATTAGGATAAAGCTCACATAGCAGCAAAGGAATTGGAAGAAAGCCCTTCATTCATGTATAGTCAAGGACTCAAAGTAATAAGAGAGATATTTTTGACCAAGTGATAGTGAAAGTGAAATTTCCTCAGAATCTAATGACAATCGATTTTGGAAGAATAATAAAGCTCTCAGTATATTCAACTTTAGAAAACTAAAACTAATAACCGAAACAAAGAAAGAAATCAGTTCTTCCAAGCAAAGCTTTAGGGCAGTTTCTGAAGTTGTCAACCTCTTCTTTCCAATCCCCCCTCAATGCATAGATCGAGACATGGATAAAATCTTTCAAAGTTGAAATTTTGAGACAATTGTTCAAAACTACCAAAACAATAAATCTCTGGAAACCAAAAATTAAACTTTTTAATTTTTCCAGCAGCAGGAAAGATGATAATATGAATTCTTAGCGTATCAGTGGAAGCACTGCTAGCAGCAGCAGAAAGGTGATAATATGAATTCTGACAAATCTACACACATACAGAGAGAGAGAGGACTTGACGGTTTCTTGCCTGAGGAGGTCCGTTCTCATCGGACTCGAGCCTGTATTCATGCATGATCCAGTCAGTTTTCTGTCCATTGGGTGCCCTACCCTTGTAAAAGACTAGGGTTTTCCTCATGCCGATAAGTCGCATCTTGTCGTAGATTGCCTTGTCTCTCCCGGTAGCCTTCCAGAACCCGGCCATGGTGGCCCTGTTAGTCCTGGTCCCCGTTGGGTATTTCTTATCCTTATGGCTGAAGAAATACCACTCGTTCTGCTCCTCGTAGCCGATCCGACACCGCTCTGTCAGTTATTAGTTACATTGTGTTAATCAAGAATCGGAAGACTACAGATGAATTTAAAAATAGCTTTCTACAATAATTCAGTCACAAAAAGCATAGGTTCTCCTATATCGAGATTTTGTTCTCCTTCTAGATCAGTTAGCTGGCACTGATTCAGATTCCTGTTAACATGCGCATGAAAACAGAAGACGCAAAGTGCTTCCATTTAAGGCCACCAGAAGGTGGTAACCTTTTTGGGTTCTTGAATACAGAATTTATTTTTGACCCAGCACCCAAACGGATTAAATGGGGTCAATGGATTGATTGTGGATCTCACAGTGAGAGTCCATGAACATGAGCTGTACACATCACGCGTTATATTTCGATCCATTCTTCTATAAATGTTCTAACATGAATTTGTTTGCTGGACCAGAGTCATGCGATCTGGGCAAACTGTAACTTCAACACAAAGATAACTTCAGAGAAACAGGTTCAAATCTTCCAGTTAGGATCCAATCGGTGCAAGTTAGCTGCTTTTTGTGCAAGATCCTGCTGTCATTCTTGTTATGGGATGGAATCTCACTTTAGCTACATCATGGTTCGATGAAATGGAAACCCTAATGACAAAAGAATAGATTTTGAGGTGTTTAAGATGCCGTACCTTGCAGGTCCCATGGTTCGATTCTGTATAGGTCGATGTCCCTGATAACATCAAGATCGATCTTCTGTGAGGTGACCTTCTTCTTCAGATAATATCCTACCAGTTCCTCGTCCGTGGGATGAAACCTGAAACCTGGTGGAACACACGACTCCATCGATTCCATCACCACTACTACCAAAACCACTGCATCAAATTCATCACCACCAGGCACCACGCTTTAAATCCATCATCTTTAAATCATAACAAAGGCAAAGCAGGGAGAAAACCCAGAACCCACAACCAGAAGAGAAAGCTAAGGAGAGAAAAAAAAAGGAAAAGGAAGTAAATTTGAACATGAAGTCACGAACCTTCACATCAGTAGAGGACATATGTTAAAGATAACCATCAATTCATTTGGTGTAGACCGAGACTTACCATTTGTCTCTAAGAGGAAATGAGGGCGATTTTTAACAAAGGCCCATTTTTCTTATGATGATTTCTTGTTAGAAAAGAGGAAGAGAAAAATGAGAAGAAAACCTAAATCATGAATGTTTGGTTTGTTAAAATCCAAGAAGAAGTTAGAGCTCAGGCTGTATTTCAGGTCTGAAGAAACAGACAAGCAGCGGTCCTTACTAATGATGCTGTCTACTGAAGGTGAATGGTGGGAATGATTCAGCAAGAACTGGGTTTGGTTTAGTATATTAGGATAGAGCACACCCAAAAATTAAAAATTCAATACATTTGTTCTTTCCAATTTTCGTTGTCTGCTGGACAGAATAAACCATTTTATAGGAAGGTATTACTGTGTTAAGTACAATGTATAATTGACACCACTAATGATATCGATATATTTCCCAGTTCTCACTGCACTACACTGCACCCATACAAGTTAGTAAAAACCCAACTATTGTTTTTCCAAAAAAAAAAAGAAAAAAAAAATGAAAACAGAACAAACAAAGAATGAATTCAATATTAAAAATTAGAAAGGTTTCAATCAGGAATATTTTAATCTTCTTTTTTCAAATATACAAGTTCATCAATGAAATTTTCTTGGGCACCGAGCAGTTCATCCTAGCAATAGCGAAAGCATTATTAGAAAGGCCCAAATTACATGACTAAAAAGCTTTATTGGCAGAAGAGTTGAAAGATGAGGCCAGAGAAGAGAAACAACCCCAACAGGAGAACTCAAAAAGTTGAGAGAGTAGAAAAGCCGACTAGCCATGAAGAATGTGGTTGACGTTAGCAAGATTTAGCACGCGTTGGTTCAAGGGGAGAAAGGGGGAGGGGGCAAAAAGAAAGTAGCCATTTATTTATTTTTTGATCAAGCCTGCCACAGGAGAGGAAGGAGAAAAAAAAAGAGAAGAGAGAGCACTCCAAGGGTCTCTGCACGGTCCGATGTCTGATTGCAGGAAATGGAGTCTGACCCTTTTGTCTCTTTGTCTAGGATTTCCTTGGCACATCTGACCTCTGAGCTTGGTTGACTGTAGAAATGCTGACCTAAGGAAAAGAAATTTTATGGAAAGGTCTTTGCTGTTACCTATGCTTTAATCATTAAATAGTCTCCAAATTGAGTCTAGATTGTATGAACTTATTCTGTAAAATTTTCACAGGCAGAGAAGGAGAGAGGTTGTCTGTGTTCATCCAAATTGTCAACTTCTGGCCACTTCCAAGTTTTATTGTTAATGGATTTGGTGCACCTATAGCTATAGATCGTCCACTCAATAACTGGGAAAAATCAACATTGTTAATACATTGATGAAAAAAGATAAGCTCTCTCCATCTATCTTCTGGAGCTATAGTTGTTTTTCAATGGAGTCATGTTTACTCATTACCCAAAATCAGAGGAACTGCCTACTTGGACTGCCAAATGAGAGAATATCAACTATTTCCTGATAATGTGTTGGTACTCGTGTGTGCGTGAGAGAGAGAGAGAGAGGGAGAGAGATGAAGCCCTCGTAAAGCTGCAGTAGTGTTTGTTGAAAAAAGTAGATGAAGAAGAAAAGCCAGAGAAAACATAAAAGAAAAAAAATACCTGCAAAACTTTTTAAATTCAGAACAGATGAATCGATCGATCGAGAAGAAAAACAATGAAAAAATGGAAGGAGATCAACGGAAACCCGAGTTGAAATGGAAATCAACAGCAAGAAATGAGAGAAAGGGTCTATCTATATCTATAGAGCAGAAACTACTATAGAGTATAGTATTGTGCATGAAAATTGTTGCACGGAAAAAGCTTACCTGAGAGTGAGAGCGAGAGGAACTGTTGCCTAATTGGTCTGTCTGGTGCGGAACAAGTAGAAAGAAGAACAAGACAAAGGAAGCAAAAGTAGAGAAGGGAATGGTGGGAGAAACGAGAAATTCCGTTAGAGGGAGAGAGCGAGACAGAGAGGTGCCAAGACTATAAAAAGAAGGTGAGGACCGCTCGATTGCGCGTGGGTTGATGGTATGAAGGACTGTCCCAGTGGATGACGTCACCTCTTTAGCTTCCTCCATAGCTCTCTCTCTCTCTCTTCAATTTCTCTTCCTCTTATTTCTCACATCCTTACAACATAAAATATCTCCTATACCTGCCTTCCTGCACATCACATGATAAATCACCCAAAAGATCAGATCATCTAATGTGCGTCGTGATTCGTGATCTACACTATTACCCTAGTATTCAACCACACGAAATATGATCTCCTTCTCTTTGCTACCATTGGACGCACTTGATGATATCTCAGACGGTTGAGATTAATTAGGTAATCATGTGACTTTCTTGGTGGGTCCTTTCGATTGTACGTGTATAATAACTGTAACTCTACGGTAATATAGTATTTTTTTTCTGGGAATAACAACCGGATACGCTTTACTACACAACAATGTGTATTTTAACGGCTAAGGCCTAAGGACCTAGCCGGGCGGGGTGGGCCGGATCCACTTGTAGCCCGAGGAGTTTAAGCTTCTTTGAAATATAGGCGACGTAGCTCCGTTACCCACCGTAGATTGAATGGAGATCTAAGTCATATCGTTGCATTGTATTTGTATAGAAAGCCCTCGATTTTCGTATCGTCATTCGTCAAATTCTCGCTTGTTTGAAAATGCTACTTTTCTCGGTAGGGACTAGGGATGTCTTTGGTACGAGTTCCGACTTCACTTTCCGTCGTCCGACACTCTGATAGATCGGGCTGCCACGTTGGTGGACACCTCTTTGTCTTTGATGAATACACGTGTCACCGCCAAACGATCGCCCGCCCATGCCGAGTCCCCCCGGCCCCCGCCTTTTCTGTATTTGCTGTCGGCTCAAAATGGCTGGTCGTCCGGCTTCGCTTTTGCGGTTCGGGAGGCGAATTTACAGAAAAGCTCAGGACGTGAAAACAAATTGACGGAAACCCATGAACTAGTCGACAAGAAGGTAGAAACACCCACCCACAATGAAATGTGTAATGACGATATTAACCCCATGAACATTGAGAAAGGGAGAGAGCTCTGTGGTCAATTTTAAGGGGTTTATACGTAATTAAAAACGGGATTTGTAGGGGGTCCAAAATGATTTGTCGACAAGTATTTCAGGGAAGGAACTGTAGAAAGAAAGCGAGGAATGCATAGAGGTAGTGCCACGTGTAGATAAGTGGTTGGTGGAGACGCATAGTACTTTACGTACAAGATAAACAAAGGAAATACGTCATTATAAGCCCCAAAGAGCAGAGCAGTAAGTAATCCAAATATGAAATATCCAATATATAATATCCATGCCACCCTTCCATTTTCGCAAAGAGACAAGAAGAACAAATAAATAAAAGATAGGTCATAGGTCCCCCACTTGATCGACGAAATGCCTCAGTAGCCCAAATTTCAAACTTTGTTTGGCACCAAATCCTTTTGTTATTTCACAAGTAAAATTAAAATTGGTCCCGGACTCTCGATAACTGAAGAAGCAGGGGTCCAGGGCCGGCCAGTAGAAATGTTGGTGGCCCAGATTAATTACTCGTTACAAGCAACGACAAAAAGCTAGACGAGAACGAGTTCAAGCAACTGAAGTCCCAAGTCGCCTAACAAGGAGCAATGCAAATGCATAATCGGCGATGGGTCGTTACAAGCGCACTCGATCGCTTTGTGGAATTCACAGATGTGACGGGCGCGTCAGTGCCACAAGTCCCGATTGGTTGGGGCGGAGACCCTCCATTCCAATAAGGAGGAAGGACTCCCTCTCGAAGCCTCGGATGTTGATCGGTTGGCTGGACAGGGAAGGCTGAAGGGTGGTCATTGACGTCGAAGAAATGAATCCAGAGCTTTACTCCTGGGATGCAGCAATTCAATTCAACCTTATTACATGATTACAGGCAAAGCAATTTGCGAAGCGTTGTTTGGCAAGGATGCAAGTGAAATTGGGCGGTGTTTCCATGCATCATTTGATTGTGATATTTTCCTTCTAGACGCACTGACACTTGTTAACCAAAGCAATCTCCTAAATCAACCAATGGAATATTGTTTCCTTTGCCTTTGGCCTTGCTTTTCGTTTTCAACCATCTTACACGTGTAACAAAACCACTAACTAACTCAGTTATTTTACTTTGTCCCGTCCCCCCGTGTATATTAATTATACTATGCTTTGCACTTTACTTACTACTCCGTGTATACTTATTAATTTACTTTGTCCAGGTGCTCTGCTCAGTATTACTATTACTATTTCACACTTCTCTTACTGATCAGCACTTGGTCTGCTCTTTTGTTAACTTATTCCCTATTTCTTATTCTTAGATCTAGTCGTTTTGTTCCGCCTTTCTAACTGATTGTATTATCATAGGCTGTAATCTAAGCATTAGTCGTGAATGAATTGTCTTTTAAGTAAGTCTTCAAAGAAAAGGGAAAAAAAAAAGGAGAAATAGCAGCAGATAGTGGGTCATTAATGGGTGGAAGCTTTTGGTGCATATCATTCTTTGTATATTTCATTGATGGAAAGGGGAGCGGCTAGTTATGTGCATTCAAACAAAAGCATTCAGGCGTTTCATTCCAAAGAAATAGAACAGTGGCAGCAGCAGAAGAGAGCCTCTGGTCCTCTGCAGTAGCCTGCACAACAGAATTCCTTGGATAAGATTTAACCTAATCATCGATAGCTTCATATGAGCTTATAACTTGCTAAAACTGCCAAATGAAGATAAAATCATGGGATTTTTGATAAAATGGCCGAGGCAGAGGCACAAGGCCACAAGCCAATGGTTAATTATATGAATGATTTAACGAGGGTCCCACTGTGTTAACCATTGGGCTATCATGCCAATCCTGAGAGGTGGCCCAATGATTGAATGGTCCAGATTCATGAGAAAGTGGGCCGTACCCTCAATGGAAGTGCAATCCGATGGTGGGTTCCAACCAAAGCCCACCATCGATCATGTTCAATCATCTTGTACACGTGTTCATGAGTAAAGAGTAAAGATCGTTTATTCCATCTCATATCTCAGCTGGGTCAGGGCACCATGGTCGAACTGCATCATGGCTCATGTTCATGGTAATGGAATTGGAAGGGAGTATCTAAGCAATTCTGTGGAAAGCAAAGGACCCCATCTCTCTGCTTCACGTTAAAATTAATGGGATGAAGATTGGACGTCATTGGAGTTGGAGGGCTCCAAGTCTAAGCCAAGGAGCCAGAGGTGAGTGATGTCGACGTGTCGTCCACGTCAGAAGGTGTGTGGGTCGGCAGTGACCTCCAATCATGCGGCGGACCACATCATTCGACTCAGGTAGGTCCCACCAAAAAGCGCCTCCTCACAAAGTAGGGGCGGTGAGGCTGAGCGGAGCCCCTTAACAACAATTTTTATATCCCTCGTCCCTACGGCCCTCCCCACTCCCCACCTCTCCTCAGTCCTCCCAAGTCCCAATGAAAAATAAGACTAGAATGTG